CTCTTTATGCACTGAAGCTGGCACGTTCCCTGAGTTTTTCCAGCAAGATGGTGCACCACCACATTATGGGTGCCAGGTCCGAGCATTCCTAGATGAACAGTTTCCTGGAAAGTGGATTGGTCGTGCATTTCTCCTGCGGTGTTGCTATCAGTGTGTGAAGAGTGGGAGAAGAGGGTTGCATTGACAATCCAACACAATGGGCAGCACCATTGAACACATTTTATAAGTGGTCAGAAACTTGTAAATAACTCATGAAAGAATAAAGTTACGTTGAAACCAAGCACACCATTGTTTTTCTTGTGACCAATAAGTTTGATGTGTCACATGGCCCTCTTCCTATTGAAAAAACAAAAGTTGTATCCAAGATGGCCGACTTCTAAACGGTCACCATGGTCACCACCCATCTTGAGGAGTTTGCCCCCTCACATATACTAATGTACCACAAACATGACTTTCATATCACCAACCATTCCCATGTTATTACGGTGTATCCATATAAATGGCCCACCCTGTAGTTAATGCAACATAACAGAGGGGGTGGGGCTTCTCCTTACCAGGTAGCCAATGGGAGACTTCTTACTCTTTGAGAACTTCTCTAACTCATCCCACTCCTCCTTCTCCGCCAGAGACTTCAACTTCAACCACCAATACCTGCACAGGTGAGAGAGGCAAACAGGTGAGAGAGGCAAACAGGCGAGAGGGACAGACAGGCGAGAGGGACAGACAGGAAAGACTGTAGTAAAAGACAGAGCCAATAACAGCGCAGCCTCAGTGACACACCTTTTGTCAGGTACTCTGAAGTCTTTGTAAAGCTGCTCTGCCTGTTTGTGGAGTCCTAATGACAACAGCGTCTCCATGGTCACCTGCAAACAGCAAGTGACATCACAGCACACACACACACAGCAGATGTAACTATGGTCACAATCAGCAGAAACAAGTTTTCATCAGTTGCTTAAATCAAACCGCGGATTTGGCCAATCTGATTGGCTGTCCCAGAACTTAGAAGTTACATGGAGGAAGTCTGGGTCTGTAATGATCTGAGGAGGAGCACTTTAAAGCGGAGCGACCACACTGGCCTCTTTAAAGTAACCTGGAGTACTGCCAGGTGATGGAGACTGAGAACACAGAGCATGCAGGTGGAGGTAACTGGTAGAGGGAAACGTCAGCTGGCCAGGGAGCCCCGCCCCTTGTAGTTACCTGTAGGGACAGTCCAAGAAGCCCCGCCCCTTTCTCATCGTCCAGTTTGCGCTGAAAACGGAGCAGACGCATCTCGTCCTCTGTGGTCTGCAGACCAATCAGTGAAACACACCTGAGCATCAGGTACAAACACACACCTGCAAACACGTCTTATTGTTTGTTTGTTACCTTTACTGCAAACTCATTCTTGGCCTTGTTGTACTCATCGACAGCGCTCTGCAGAAGAGACAGCCGGCCCTCCAACCTCTGAAGATGGACAGGTGAACAGCAGACAGGTGATTACAGTGATGATGGACGAGTCTAATCTCTGCTGGGCGTGACGGTTAGCAGTCCTTACCTTTTCCCTGTAGCTTGCAGTGACGTAATAGTTGGCCAGTTCCTGGTGGTCATCGTCCTGGTTATACAGGTCCTTCAGAGTTTCCTGCTCCTGCAGCTTACAGAACTGACAGCAAACAAATGCAAACAAAGACACACATTACCAAATGTAAACCAGGAGGAGGAGAGCGGTAGTGGTGAAGTTGGGTGCACCTGTCTGTAAAGGCTGAGAGCGACCGGCTGGTTCCTCAGAGTCATGAAAAAATCTCCTCTGTTCATCTCGTTCTTCAGGTACGACACCACTGTGTACACTGACAACACACACAGCCAACTGTCAGTGTGACATCATCCATCTGGCAAACACATAAGGTGTGGGGCTGAAACACTCACCCAAGTCGGTATCTCCGCTCTCTACAGCTTTACTGAGAGCCAGCTGACTCCTCTTCATCTTCAGCAGCAGAGGAACCTGCTCTCCAGACCGAGCCTCGAAGTCCAGGAGCTTCATAGAGACACACAGGGACAAATACTGAAAAACACTCGACCACACTCAATATCAATATCCCTGCTGAATATAGCAGATGGGCAGTGACCATCCAGCTGAAACCTGGCTCCAAATCTGTCGAAAAACCACTGAACCATCCATCCATCTACTTATCCTTTTCAGGATCGCGTGGGGCGCTGGAGCCTATCCCAGCTCTCATAGGGCGAGAGGCGGGGTCCACCCTGGACAGGGACAGACAACCATTCGCGATCACATTCACACCTATGGGCAATTTGGATTATCCAATTAACCTATCCCCACAAGCTGCATGTCTTTGGACGGTGGGAGGAAGCCGGAGTACCCGGAG